TTGACATCACTGTCTTTGAAATCATTGGCAAGGTAGTTTTTGAACATTGTTTCAAAATTTGAATTTTGTAACATGACTTTGTACTTTTGCTTTGCCTCAACGTCCCAAATGAATTTTTTACAGTGCGGTTTCAATTTATCCACAAGCTTTGTGTTCTTGGTGTGATTGTAATTTACAGTTAGTGAGAAACCAATAGGACAATGATCTGACAAGTTTAAGAAACCCAGCAAATACTCGTGGGTAGTGGGCGTTAATCATGGATTATGTTATAAATGAAAAGTTTAGTGTAGTAGTTAAAAAAATGAGAACAAAGGTATAATACAATAGTACTGATTGAATTTGTTTAGATCTTCAAGTTCGGACCCCTCTCAAACAGCTAATCTCAGACGCTACATTTATAATACATTTATTAGTTGTCTGAGACTGGCAGCGCCTTGGTTTAAAGAGTCAGACTCGGACTGTGAAATGTCCGCCAACACATATATGTACAGTGTATTTTGGTTCTTGTTGCCCTAAAATAAACATTGAAAAAATCAACTAATAAGTCATATTCTGGTAAAGCTGACAAAACTATTTAAATTATAGGTTTTAGCGAACACGCGTGTGTGCAGTCTGACGCGAGGGTTCGAACTACAAGGGCGCTATATTGCTGGAGAGCCTCGTTTTCGTCTACGCAATCACTCTGTTAATGGCCATTGCAGCGATATAATTATTATATTGGTTATTCACGTGTAGCGTCTACAAAAGGTCGCAAACGTCCCATGTTTTTTTCGTTTTTCGTGAGATTAGTCACCATACATTGCAGTTTTGTACAAACATTCCATTTGTTAATGAAGGTTTTTTTAAAAATGGTAATTTAACGATCTTCTATTTTATGTTTACTGACATCAAGGACACGTTTTTATTCTTATCAGTAGAATATCACAGGTTACAGATCATGAGCCAAGTTGCTATTTTCACCACACACTCCACCATAACTCCCAAGTTAGTGTACACAATTTTAAGACTTTACCACTCTGAACTTACAAACGTGGCAATGTTGAACTTCGTGTGTCCACGCCTCCCTCGTTCCCGTCAATACCCTGACGGGCACAAAGAGTGGGAACCCAGGTAGGTCTATGGTTTGAACCGGGGTTTTGAAGTTGTGTATCGGCTGCATATGTACCCTTATTCTAGCCAAGTCATTCAAAATCATATCGTGATTGACTTTTACAATAAATATGACACCGACCTCGGGCTGCCAAGCCCATGAACACCGTAGGATTTTCCATACCTGGACTCTGTGGCAAGGATATAAAAATATTAAATTACTATGAAGGTCGACAAGTTGTATTTTCCTAAGCTGTAATCAATTCGTTTTATTTTCGTAATAATGTAATTTATTAAATAAAAACGTAAATTCGTAGACATGGGCAAGGTGTAAAATGTAATCAGCTATTTTATTCGTCCGTAATTTGTACAAAGATTTTATTTTTCATAAGCGTATAAAGCATTTTCCAAATTAAATGTCGTAGTTCTTATGCAATTTCCAAAATTATTAAATATATTGTGAAAATGAAATTAGGAATTTATCTGTAAAGTGTAAAAATCCATTTTTTACTGTACATGGAACTTTCATTATTTCTCGTAAAAACAAAAAAAATGTCTTTTTTGTAACCTGTACCAGCTACCCCCTCCCCTTGCCCACACTACTATATATTAAATTTATTTTGCCGTTTCAAAATTATACAAAAAAATACTATATTAATAAGTTTATTTTTAGCAATCATTTGACACCATAAGAAAAAGAACAAATATAAAATACAAACCTATCATC